GTTACGTGGAAAGCTGGTTAATTCGTTGCCTAGTTAAGGCCATGTCTCCAACCGGCTATAGCTACTTAATTTACGTCTCTGAGCTAACTGTAACGTGCATTACCTTATTTACATAGGTCCATTCTAAAACAGATGGAATACTAGCGACTTGCTTCACATCTCTCTTCCTTTGGACAGCTGGGCAATTTGTGCTGAATTGCTTTCTTCACAGTCCAACCGTTAAGATAAATTACGGCTCCTTATCCGTTACATACACGTACATAAGAGGAATTTCTGACAGCATAACTTCTTCTTATACTTTTGTGCATGATAGTTGGAAATGTCTATATGGATGCCTGAGGAGGAAATAGGAAGTGACAGAAGGCTGGAAAAATTGCATAATGAGCTTCATAAGTCGTATTCTTGTCTTCGCCAAACATTATTCGGCTAATCAGAACAAAGGAGGATGAGATGGGCATGACATGAGCACGCGTGGGAGAGAGATGGTGGGCGTGACTTGAGCACTCATGGGAGATATGAGGTGGGTATGGCATGAGCTAGTGTGTGAGGTGAGATGGTCATAGCATGAGCACGCGTGGGAGAGATGAGATGGGCATGGCATCAACACGCATGGAAGAGAAAAGATGGGCGTGACATGAGCACTCATGGAAGAGGTGAGATGGGCATGACATGGGCACGCGTGGGATAGATGAGGTGGGCATGGCATGAGCATGCATGGGAGAGAAGAGATGGGCGTGACATGGGCACGCGTGGGATAGATGAGGTGGGCATGGCATGAGCATGCATGGGAGAGAAGAGATGGACGTGACATGAGCATTCGTGGGAGAGATGAGATGGCATAGCATGAGCACGCAAGGGAGAGAGAAGATGGGAGTGACATGAGCACTCATGGGAGTGATGAGATGGCCACAGCATGAGCAGGCGTGGCAGGAGCAGGCGTGGGGGCGTGAGAAATGCATAAAGTTCTAGTATTTATAGGTGACAGTCCAGGAAAAGCTGCGCAGTGGATGGGAAGGTCCATTCATGAAAGTTGAGGGGTGTTGTGATTAGCCATTCGTCTGAATTCAGTGCGAGCGGACGTCCCAAGAGCATTCTTCCTTGTACAGTCAAGTTAAAAAGTTTTGACTCTTGGAATCGTATTTGAGTGCATTATTCTCTAATTACTGTACTAATCTTTTATTTTATTGTTTATTTTTATTCGTTATTTTTTTTTTGTTTATTTATATTTGTACATTTTTTCTATCTCCTCTAACATGCCACCTACACGAAGTAAATTGAGTGGAAAAGTGTTGCATTCACAATCAAGAGAAATTGTTAGTAATTTACGTGTGTATAAGGATATGAAAGAGGCTGGTCCAACAGTTAGAGTGAAGAATACAGGAGTAGAAGTAGCAAAGGCAACAGGTGTATCGGAAAGTAGTGTCAGAAGAATAATATGAGAAACAAAAAATATCGAATCTGGGGCTTCCACTTGCTTTTGACACTCCATAAAGAAAGACCTAGGAAATCTCCATTAGCCACTTTGGACGACTGTAACGAGTCTGTGGTATGAAAAACAATTAATGACTTCTACATAGTCGAAAAACGGAGACCTACCCTGAAAAAAGTTCACGAAAAGTTGAAGAAAACGTTAGATTTTCAAGGATGCATCTCCATATTAAAGAAAATTATTTTGAAACTGGGGTTCCGCTGGAAGAAAACAAAAAATAATGGGCAGATGAGGGTGGAACGATATAATATCAGAGCCAAACGTCTTCAGTATTTGCGGCAAATTAAGGAATGTAGGGAAGAGGGCCGCCCAATCATCTACATGGATGAAACCTATATTCATTCATCGCACACCACCTCATATGCAAGGAGTGATGGATCCATCCAGGGATTATTTTCCCCTGTGTCCAAAGGCCAGCGGCTCATTGTTATCCATGCAGGGGGAGAGCAAGGTTCCATCCCTAATGCCTATGCCCGCTTCAAATCTGACCAAAAAACAGGAGACTACCACAGTGACATGAACTACACCAATTATGAAAAATGGTTAAAGGAGCGACTTATTCCTAACCTTCCCCCAAATTCTGTCCTTGTCATTGATAATGCTCCCTACCATAATGTACAACTAAACAGAGCCCCTAACTCAAATTCAAGAAGAGATTTTATGATATCCTGGCTAAAATATCACCTTCCACCTATTACCTTCAGTAACATTGATTTTTCATCATTGCGTAATCCAGACATATATAATATGATCCTACCACACAAATCGAAATACCTTTCCTATAAAATAGATGGAATCTTTGCAGAACACAATAACGTACTACTGTATCTTCTGCGATATAACGCCGTGTAGTCCGTTGAAAATTAACCGAGCAAGATTTTAGCGTTAAAGCAGGCTTATCATACGCTTTCACTTCATTATCTTGCTCCGCTTATTCGACCCTGAAGATAAAGGCGATATATTCCTCCGAAATATGGGTTGATATTCAACGGACTACACGGCGTTATATCCCAGAAGATAGTGTTCTTCAAATGACAGTTTCCGGACTCAGCTCCATTCAGTTATTTAACTGGTAAGTTACCTTGTTTTTGTGGATGATTACATGGGCACAATTAGGATATGTTCTCAGGGGGAAGGGAGCCAGAAAGTTTGCATACAAACTTACATTTGAGCAGTTTAAGAACATTCTTATGGATCTCCTTCTGTATTCAGGATCTCGCCCCCATCTTCCTCGCATATGGGTAATTATGTTCTCTCTTCGATTTTAATACCACATAAACCCGCTATTTTTCAATTGTAATCATGTCTAGACGAGCTGATAATGTTGGATTTGTAAACGAGTTGTGTTATACGTCTACATTATGAGAGGGCTCATTGGTCCGTCAACCAAAATAACCTGAGAAGCGAGAAATTAAGACGGTACGGTTTTGATAGATACCTTTGGACATATCTTATCGACTTGTACACACTATGACGCCCACATAGATATATAGGGTATAAAGTACAGTGAATACTCTTAACAAATAATTTTCATGCTGATGTGTCAGTGATAAGCATTTTTATCACTTTCGTTGGCTGCTGCCCAGTGTAATAAACAGGTTGTCGGTTCACGTGTTGTTTACAAAAAGCTGCTTTCCCGGTTTGCATTATCAATTCGCTCTTCAGCTCACTGATATTCCTTGCATGGTCATAAATGTGACACAGTTTCCAAATTCTGTAGTTTCCTTTCATGAATATTTAATGCATTCTCAGCCGTATGCAGGCTGATATCACACTGATGATTATTTCAAAGATTATAATTACAGATATATCGAAAAAATCTCTTTCGGATGCGTTTGTCAATACTGAAGAGATATTCTGAAAGGATAAGACTTTTTCTTCCGAATGTGTGAGTGATCGCAACGTAAAAATTGTCCAAGGAAGTACCACACGTAAGCATAGCCTATGTCACATTTTTTTTCTTGTGCACTACAGCCCCAGTGGACCTAGGCCTACCTCCATGAACTTCTCCGTTCACTTCGGTTTTTTCTAGATCTTACACATTCGGTAGGACTCCTTGGGCGGGTGATCAGCTCGTCGCAAGGCCTCTACCTGTAGACAAACACAGAAAAACGCACACAAACATCCATGCCCTGAGTGGGATTCGAACCCACGATCCCGGCTTCCGAGCGAGCGAAGACAGTGCATGCCTTAGACCGCTCGGCTACCGTGACCGGCAGCCTATGTCACATACCCAAAGTAAAACTACTCGTATATAAAGTGGCATAAGAATTTCTTTCGTTCTTTGAAACAATGTGCTTCTGAAAACGAAGTCACTTCGTGGTTTAATGAATAGAATTCCTCCTCTTTTTTTGGGGGGGGGGATGCTGCTTTGGACCTCGATTTTGAGACTAGCTGCCTTGGCTGATGTCTTTCGTTTTGTTCATTGACTAATTAAATGTTGTGATGGTACTGCAAGATATGTCAGCGCCCTTTATAATTGACAATAATCTGATTGTTTCTAAATATACGTCTTGTAAACTTTGTAGTTATTAAATGATTATACGTATAAATGACTCCACGATGGAGTTTAGAAGAGAAGCGGGAATCTGTGTTGTGGAACTGTTGGTACTATATGAAGTGGTCATGGCCTGTAAGATTTGAGGTTTTCACGGCAGTGACTATGAAAAGTGCTGTCTTCTGGGATGTGACTCCGTGTAGATCTTGTGAACCGATAGTGCTGCAGTCTGTAGCCACCTGCTCACGCTGGTTCCTCGCTCGAGAATTTTTCTACATTGAATATGGAAGCGATACGTTCCTCCGAAACATCGGTTCACACAAGATTTACACGGCGCCACATCCCAGAAGACGGCATTCTTCATGGTCATGACCTATTTAAGTAACTCTGTGAAAACCTGCAGCTCACAAATAAGAACTTTCCTTATCAATTGGGAAGCGGGTATTGGATCAGATTAGTCAGTCTGGTTCTTCGAAGTCGTTGAAATAGTAATATGATGAGAATGATGCCGTTCTGTGTTACAAAAAAAAGAGGAGACAGCATACAAGATGTAGTCATATCGTACTTCAATCTTATCAGTAGATGATACCTGACTTACGATCATGACGTCACGAAATTAGACAAATAACGGCGGTGAACGTGGAGGCACAATTTCATACACACCGGAGAAGAGATGACGGAACCCAAAGGTGCGTGAACAACAGCTGCAGTATATTCCACGCTTTTGCAAGAGATTCATGTACTAAGATTTGGAGATGGAAGTCGGCATTACATATTCGTAAATCATTTTCGTTACTGCAGATAACAAATGTTATCCGAATTCTATTTTGGAATTAGTTTTGGCGTTGGATTCAACATAGGCCTGCCAGTTCCTTCATGTTGGGAAATAAAAGAATATATTCTTGTTTCTAAGAAAAGTGGTGTATACGAATCAGCACTGTGGTGTGTTCTTTCTTGACAGCAGATAATTCCTCTACTTCTGAAGTCTAATTCTGTTGTAATCTTTTTTTGCAGGAGAAGTGGTGTACGACTCCATTATCCAGAACAAGCACAAAACCAAGAGCTACTGGGAACAGCTGATGATGGCGGCTGCTACCACGGAGCAGCCCAGGTTACCGTTCAAGAGAGACTTTCTGAGTCTCGGTAGTGATGGAGAAGACGGCAAACCAAGCAGTGACGTATCCGAACAGGAGTATTATGATGCCCGTTCTCAAATCTCACTCCATTCCCCTGCAGAGCCGCTTGATTCCTTAGATCAGACTTATGATCTTACGAGTTCAGGGCCTAAGATTGTTGAAACTGTCTCAAAGAAACTGATGGAGGCGGAAACTGTGAAGTTGAACAAGAGCATTGGTGAAGAGAGTGTTATTGAGAAAGAGATACGTTTGCAACGTGAAAGAGAGGAGGCTTTGGCTCGTGAGAGAGAAGAAGCACTTCTAATGGCCGCTGCTCTGCCACCGGACCACGTTGTCGAGACTTCTACGCCGAGCCCCCCAGTCAGTACTGTAACGGCCACCTACACGAGTCCAAACGCCGCCGAGACCAAGATTGCCCTTGAACTGCGGGAAATGCGAGAGCGGGAAGAGGAACTTCGACGTCTTCGTCAGAGGCTCAGCAAAGAAGAAGCTGACGACGGCTTCAATAGCATCCCCAACACAGACGAAGGCAACTTTTCCGAGTACGGGAGTGAAGAAAAAGAGCTCAGTTTGGACGGCAACAGCAGGTGAGTACTCAGCTTACGATCTTTCCCGCCTCTCCGCATCAAGGATAATTGTAGTCATTAGATGATTAGCAACAACTGACATAAACGAGCCATGAATATACAAATAAGAATCGGTGCTGTGCCGTTGCACATGTTTCTCACATGCGCTTGGCGGATCTTGATCTTCTATCATCCTATAAAAAAGTGAGCCGCGCCATAGCTCAGGCTGTTGGTCACTGGCTTCCCACAGCGACGGCCGGGTTCGAGCCCAGGTCTGGTCGTGTGGGATTTATGGTGGACTAAGCGGCTCTGGGGTAGGATTTAGACGATTACTTCGGATTTCCTGCCAATCTTAATGCCACCAATTGCTCCACAATCATCATCTGGGGCTGGTACAATAGGCCAGTAATGGCTGCAGTACCGAAGGAACTCAATCTCACCCAGCTAAGACTAATAAAATAATAATCCTTAAATAAAAAAAAGCAAATCTATCCCTGTAACATTCCGTGAAGGCCCATAGAGTTATGAGACGTTGAGGGTCCCACATTATCTAGACAGTAGGCTCAAAGATGGCGGTAAGGTCGTCAGCCTTACACGCCGGCCGCGCTTTACTCCCCAGGAAAGTTATTTAATTAATTCCTGGTACTCATTTCTGTTAGAGGCTGAGTCGACCCCCAGGGCCATAGTGCGGCCGGAAGGATTAGGTCAATTGAAAAAATCCAATGGCCTCATCGGGGCTTGCACCCGCGACCTTCAGGCTTGTAGCATAGTGCCTCAATCAACTGCTCGTGCCCCATCCTTAAATAAATATTTCACAAAATACGTACATCTATTTTAAATATAAACTATTTTAGTCCATGGTGCCGTACCCTAGAGCCCCTAAAATGTAGACTCTTACTTTATGGGAAATACACATATGACAAAAGCAGCTTTATTTGGAAATATGAATAATATAAATTGGAGAAATGTAATCAGAATCGTATGTATTTTTGAGGCAAATAATATTCCGTGATGAAGCCCCGTACTTAGGGCCCGTTGGAACGAGTTTACATAACTTATTGGGCGTATTTTATTAGAGTCCATAAACTTTCCTGCTCCTTAGCAGTCTGTTGCTGTATTACATTGTCACGTGTTGGGTATATGTCACTCGACAAGTAACTTCACGCCTTATTTGATATAGCGAATTTATTCCACTTCGTTCATACATTTACACAATTTACAGTGTCACAATTACTGCCATCGGCAGTATCACAATTCTTCTTCTGTAGTCACTGCCATACACTCGATACAACCCGACTCGGCGACTGCTACAATTCTACTAACTGGTTAATTGTTACTCACTAGTAACTCACTCGTAACTGGCTCAGGCCTCACTCACTAATCACTACTGAATAGCGTTCGCTGCTCCTTATTTTGCCTCGGCACGGACAACACAAAAAACAGTTACGTGATAGGTACCGCTGTTGCCTGACGCCGTGTTTACAGGTGTTGCTAGCAACGCTGTCGGGAGTTGTTTACGGCTGGGTAGTAATCACGGTATTCCTTGTTGCGTGACGCCGTGTTTACCGATGTTGCTAGCAACGCAGTCGAGAGTTGTCTCCTGCTGCGTAGCAACTGCGGTATCCCTTGGTAACAATACAGTCGCTCTTCTGCCACGTCACGGCTGGGAAGGGGGGGGGGCGCTCAACAAGCGTTGCGTACTGATGGAAGGAGTGGGGGTATGTGACGTCACTCGCGAGACCGCAGAGTTTACGTGACCCCTACTTCCCGTTGCACCATCTACGTCACAATATTATTTATGAACTGAGAAGGCTCAGGGAAGATAGTGGACACCTAGGGGTAAAGGATGATATTTTGATTCTTGTCGTGGGAGAGTTATTTCTGTTCTTCACCCTTGCTGAATATCCTCCTGTTCTGAGTATTAGCAACTTTTTCGAAGATGATAAAGACAGCCGGAATGTAAAAGGTAAAGTTGTCCCAGTGCTTAACTAATTAAGCACTACACCATGAAGCCGTATGGGGGAATGGATGTACAGAATCGTATTTTCGTGATATCGATACTAGTCGGAGGTGAGTGGTCAGCTTCACGCCTCGGCCGCTTTACCCCCGGTGAAAGAGCCCCCGGTTCACAGTGTATAGGAGGCTGGGTGGGTCCCAGAGCCGGTCTAGATTACGTGGAAAAGTGAAAATTCTCTCCCCCCCACTGGGACTCGAACTCTGACCACTCGGTCATCGAACACGTAGCCAGTCGCTATATCGACTGCGTTACACCGGTCGGAATGTAATCATGTCATTTACTTCAATCTCGTACCGAGGTCAGGAATAGGTGGAAATCACCTCTGAGTTTTTCCGTCCGTTCATGGCGTGATTTACATTCCCCGAAATTTAATAAAAAAAGTTCTTTGCATTATAGTTATGTTCTAAGCCGTTACTGGATAGTCTGTTTCACCTTTAGGAAGTAGTTGTTAGGCTTGGATTATTAAGTGTGGTCCATGAATCTTATCTGGTCCATTTTGGGCAGAAGGAAAAAATATTGTCATTCTTCTGAATTTGTGACTTTGAGTTGCACGTTCTTTGCACGAGGTATAAGAAATAAGCGGATTGTGGGGAGATCGTGCCCGCCCTTCCCCGCATTAATCTCGGAAAATATTGAACCGGTTTGTATGAAAAAATTTGAATTAAATTGTTGCGAACCTGTACTTAAAATACGGCGGGTGAGTATAATTGTCGTTCACGCTACTACAATGTAACCTCTGCTTCATATAAAGTGCAAGTAGAATTACATGAACTTTCTAAAACGAACCGTCGCACAGCAAATTCCTTCATTTTTCATTTTCACCTGTGTCCTGTATAGCTAATGTTTAACGAGAGACAAGTCAAACAACCAACGTTCTATTACCAACCGATGTAAGACGAGATTTTTGACGACCAAAGCGACTATGGAAAGACCAAGATTATCTTTGGATTCTTCAAAATAGACCCTAACGCCCTAACCCCATGATTTCGACGACCATGACGACAAGAAAAACAATTTATGACTGTGCAATGTGGTATCTATAATAGATCTGCAAGAACGGGGTTGTCTGCATGAAACAAACGGATCGAATAGGTTGATCTAGCAGTTCGCTCTATACTTGTATTCTGGAGGCGCCTACTTCGAATCTCGAATAGACACAGACTATCCTGACAGGATTTTTGTGGTGTTTCCTCAGACCTTCAAGTAAATTCTGGGATATTACCTTGATTAGATGACGGCGGCTTCCTTCCAAATCCTTTCCAGTTTATTAGCCATGAATAGTCATATAGCGTAGATGGTTACAGCGTATAACCCACAAAATATAAATAAGCAAGCAGGCGGGTAGTAAGACGGTTTATACAGAATCTTTGAAATGTACTGAAAAAATAACGAATACTCGTACATTGAGGTGCTCCTTTCATCTGCTGTTTATATCATCATCTGCAAGGGTTGAGCTTGTTAGCCTGTTCCGTCCTCAAATATCAAGCCATTTCCTTCTTGGCCTTCCTGGTTCAGTCCTTCCGTCGGTGATGAAACCAAAATTGCTCGTTGTTTTAGTTATAAGCGGAAAAACTAGATGCCTGGAACAGCGGTAAAACTTCTGATTTATTTTCGCGTTATTTCTGGTTCGAATCTCATCGAGGGAAGAGGATACTAACCGACGTGCTAGAGTTTCAACCAGCCCGCCTTCGAATTTACCATGACCGCTTAATTCCGAATTCATACCAGCTCATTATATTACATATATTTCAACCAATACTATATAGCGTTCGCTGCACAGCAAAGGTTTACAGTGAAATTAAAAAAAAAAAAGTCGTCGATTATAATTTGTTAGATTGTAGAAATAAGAGTTTCCGTTATCCGGAATAATAGAGGCCGTATTGCCGGCCTTTGAATTGGGAATATGGTTAGATCTTCTAGAATACAACACATACTGAAATGATCTGGCCCAACAAGTGCTTTGGGGTTGAAAAGACGTTTTATCTTTTTACCTTTACCTTGCAGTTTACATTTGTTAGCCTGTACCGACTGCTCTAGGAGCCGGGGTAACATGGTTGGTATAGCGACTGGCTACGGGCTGGACGACGAAGGGGTCAGAGCTTGAGTCCAGGTAGGGTCAAGAATTTTCTCTTCTCCACGTCGTCCAGACCGGCTCTGGGGCCCATCCGTCCTCCTATCCGATTGGTACCAGGGGCTCTTTCCTCCTCGGTAAAGCGGCCGGGGCGTGAAGCTGACCACTCACCTCCAGCTAGTGCCGAGCTCAAGAAAATGTGGATATATACATCCACTCCTCCACACGCCTTCATGCACAGTGCTTAATTAGTTAAGCACAGGGATAACTTTACCTTTTACCGACTGCTCTAAAGAGGTAAGATTTTTCGGGTATCATGGAAACAAATTTTTTTTAAAACGTTATATAAAGCACACTGATTACCACATGTATCACCTGCTTGAACATTGTCCACAGTCTGTGTGTGTTTCGTACGATTCTCAGAACGAAAGGCGACTGTTTCCCTAAACAACATTAACCAGTTGGCCTTTATAATGGAGTCGCAGTTTGTATCTTACGGCGTATGAACTGAACCTTTAAATAATTATTTATTTAAAACGTATCGTTCTTTTTTGCCTATATTCGTGACCCATTCTTCTGAGTATGATAAACCACGCCCACATTCACGGATAAGGATAGAAGCCATTATCTTTAGATATTGGCATGTCGATAAGGGAACGGAACGTTGATGTTGGTAACTGTAGTCAGTCACTGACGGCCGCGTTTTTGTGAAACTAGATTATCCATTGTCAGATGGAAGTCACGTTCCACGAAGACCACAATAACGGATATTACGATAGGTAAGTAAATACCGAGTGACAGTGAACATGATCTCTGTTTGCCATCGTTAATCCTCGTGAATTACTAAGAGTATGGCGTAACATAAGAGACGGGTTAGCGTAGTCGGTATAGCAACTAGCTACGGGGTGGACGACAGAGGAAGTCGGAGTTCGAGTCCCGGTGGTGTGAAGAATTTTCTCTTCTCCACATCGTCCATTGCCATACGGTCACTTCGAGGAAACTGCAAAACGACTGCTGCCAGTGGACGAAGATACGGAAGTTTAATTCCTTATCAATTCGAATACAAGTGATTAAATTAAAATCAGAAACGAATATTTATAAAATTCTAAACGATTTTAAATAGTGCACGAAATTCTCGTGCCTTAAATTTATTGGGGGGGGGGTTGTTTTGAATCCCAGTATAGTGACGATGTTTCCGTTGAATTTTCTTCAAAACGAAATTTTAAAGTTTTAACGAGATTTATCACAAAATATTTCATTTACATTTTTGTACAACTTTAATTTTTATATTTTAATCTTTAGTCTTTAATTGTTTAAATTTTATTACCTAAATATTTTAAAATTTTGATTTATGCATTTAAAAACACCCACGAGCACAATAAGGATCCTTATTGAAGAATTAGATGCAAATAGATGCAATTCACCAACAAACTGGTATCATTGTACTCCTACTGATGACCCAGTATAAAGGTCGAAACATGTAGCGTCAATAAAAACGAATGTTGCTACAATAGTGTCTACTTTGTTTTTAAATACAGAATATTGTTGCGTAGACTGCCATACGTTTATATACATTTTATGCCCTATTTATAACACATAAGAGGATACGTACTATTAAGAGTGCCAAAGAAAACACAGATGAAATGATGAAGAAGACAGATAATTTAGGAATTACTAAAGAAGGATCTTTGTGATTTATACAAATCGCTTTTATTGTTAGGTTAACGATACCCACGTTGCTTTTTAAATTCAAATTCAAATTCTTACGTTCCTTACAGAATAAATGTCCTGTGTGGTTTCCAAGAGATCTCCGATATGACAGTAATGATACCTATCTTATGCCGATAATAGTATCTAGTAACGTTCTAATGATATCGTAACGAATTACTTCACTATCTGACCACGCTCCTTAAGAGATATGTTAGGCATGAAGCATCATTCCAGCGTTTGTTTGTGAGGTTAGCTTTGTTGCCGCTTTGGAGACCACTCCGTGGAAACTTCAGAGTGGAAGAGGAATGATTATATTTTATAATAAAATCTTAAGTACATAATTCTGCTTATATTTAAGCATTCCTCGTATTTGTATGCTCATGTAACGTGGGATTTTGATCGATGGGGAAGAAATACGAAAAATTTTACTTTTTTTTTTCTCAATTTTATGACTCCTGGTGCAAAGTACAGAAATTCTAGGATCGTCTCCACTTTTTAAATCTTAAAAGGAAGTTTCCGTTTTAAAATACTCTGCGAGAAACTGTTTTATTTTTTCATAGTTACCATACTTCTTCAGCAGATATAACGTTAGCGAAAGCAACTCTGCTGTTGAGTCGTAATTCGTGTCTGACCCCCTACCCTGCCCAATATTTCATACTCTTCACTTGTTCCTAAAAACAATTCCACTAAACTGGGAAGTATACCAGAATTATACCGGTACTCGAAAGCAACTCACTGCCACCGAGTATCTCGGTTGCTATTCCTCATTTGAGTCTGTAGCGCTCCTTCACCCGCGGGATGTCCCGACTTCGACTTTCGCCCCGCAAGCCTGCCGTCATGAACTTTACATTAATTTCCTCGGTTCTTCTAATCAAGCACAGGGATAGCACGTTACAATTTTTCAAGATTGACTCCTTACACTTTCTCCTGGCTTCCTTAATCAAATTCATCGATTCGACGTTATGTAACCAAAGGAACTGGCACTATTTTATAATCACAGAGAACACTTAATACTAGATTGGCCGCGTCATAGCTCAAGCGGTTAGTCGCTGGCTTCCCAGTCAGGGTTCGATCCTGGCCTGGTCAAGTGGGATTTCTGGTGATCAAAGTGGCGCTGGGGCAGGTTTTCTCCGAGTACTTCGGTTTCCTCTGCCAATCTTCATTCCACCAATTGCTCCACAATCACCCTCACCTATCATCTGTGGCTAGTACAATAGGCCAGAAGTGGCCGCAGTACAAGGGACTTAGCCCCACCCCACTAGCAATAAAAAAATAATAGAGTTAAGTAGTTTTCATGGTGGTAAAATTTAGCTTGTTATCTTCTGGATTATGACAGGATAACGTAACGACATTTCTGATTAAGAACTGAGCTGGTAAGTTAGTGATGTGACATTAACTTATAGCGTTATTAGAAAACTAACTGTGCCTCCGTTATTCACGTTAGCATATTCATTTGGATTCCCTTTACTTGCTTTTTGCACAAATATTATTTTCTTGGGCTATTTAACGACAATTTCAATATTGAGATTATGTGCGTCGAATGGTAGAATGGTAGATGAATAATGATGAATTGGAACGGATTTGGAAGGAAGCGGTTGTGGCCTAGTCAAGTATTATTCTGGCATATGCCTGGAGGGACTGAGGAAACCTACGAAAAATCTCAGTCATGATAGCCAATGGCCGACCAAAGAAATAATTTTCCACCCACGTAGAAGAGAGAGAAGCGAGTTAAAATTTACTTGAATTAATTTTGTTAAATATTGAGATGTGTCTGAAATTTGAGGAGGATTATTCCGGGTCTGTGTGAAAACTACGAAGATAAAAACCACACATGATATAGTGACTGTGACAGCGACGGCGGTAGTGATAGTAGTAGCAACTTCCGCGTCATTTATTTTAATTTCTTAACCACATAGTTTATGTGGGTCTACCTAATGAAAGGCAATAAAATGATTATTTCATGAAGTTAAGCAGATTTGACCACAGCCTCATAGTTGTTTAATGTATGTTCTTTCACATCATTCAGGCAGATAAAATGCTTTTCTCTTAAAAATAGGTCCCAGACTTGTAGTATCCGAGTTTCTAATGGCAGTGGGTATGAAGGAATATAACGACGTGCAGTTTGTGGAAAATCATCCAATGTTTCAGAGGAGCATATCATCTTCATCATCAGGATTGAAGGATAAACTAAGCAAAAAAACACCATGAATCAGTTGTGCGGCATGCTCCCCTGCAAACGTCTATGATTTTCAACAGACTACTTCGCGCTCTTTTCCAGAAATATTGTGTACCTCTTCAAGCCCCACCCATTTTTCCTCGTCCTTTTCCTATCGCTTTTTGTAATCATGCCCACACCTCATTCAGTGTCACACATCTCTACTATTTCAAAGAGTTTTATTAAATAACCAACAGTGTAGAGCAAGACTGAAATTACATATCCCAAACATACACAAAAATTTGTTTACAATAGGTACAAATTCTGAAAATGAGACATTTTTGTGATTTGTGGAACTTTTATTTGCTACTTTGTGACTTGTGGAACTTTTATTTGCTACTTTGTGACTGCAGGTGATGATACCATGCAGTCTGGTAAAATGTCAAGTCTACTCAAAGATGGAGTCAGTATGTTCCCCCAAGGGTAACAACTACCAAACTACACAGCGCCATAACCAGGAACACCAATGTGATCTTAACCGCTGTGAAAATGTAACCTCACTTTACTTTCAGAATCACTGTTTTTTTTTTACTTTTTCCAGCGTCCGGTATTCCAGAAGATAGAAAACTCGACGTGTCGCAAACTCGCTCTGTTTCCGTCCTCAGTGAGCTTAACTCTTTCTAAGGGACCCAGATGAGTAAGTGTCTTCCATATTCACTTGGGGACAGAAACGGATCGATTTTCCGAAACGCTATGTTTTCTATTTTCTAGAATACCAAACAGTGGAAAGAGTCCAGTAATTCTGAGTGTTTAACACCATCGTCAGAACCCTTTAGAATCTATGTATTTTGTTTTCCCGTTCAACTTCCCAACTTTCTTCTTTATTTCTTTTTCTTCCCTATTAATATCTCCTTATAACGCTTAGAGGAACCCTCTGGTAAATTTCATTATATCATCTCCAAATAGGGGTACGCGTTAGCGTAGTTGGTTGAGACACTACGCTACAAGCAGGAAGGTCTCGGGTCCAAGTCTCGATGAGGTCATTGGATATTTTTTCAATTGACCTAATTCTTCCAGCCGCACTGTGGCCCTAAGGTCGACTCAACCTCTAACAGAAATGAGTACCAAGAATATTCGAAGAATATTCTTTGGAGTAAAGGGCGGCCGGCACGTAGGGCTGACAACCTTGCCGCCGTCTATGAGCCGATTGTCTAGAAAATGTGGGAACCTCAACATCTCACAACCCTATGGGCCTCCTTGGCCTGTTACAGGGATACGTTTACTTACTTACACTTCCAAATAAGCCACAACTGCTTCAGTCATCCTTTCTAACTCACTGTTTATAATTATTCAGGTATTCATAATTGGATGCTATTTAAGCCATGGAATCGGCATACAACTCTCGCATATTCCAGTGTGACAGAAATGTAAAGTATTAGCGCTTCGTTGTGGAAAACGCAAGCTTCTAACCCGGTTATGTGTGTTCACAGTCGCATGATGAGTCCAGAAGTTCCAGCAGGTCCTGAAGCTTTCTTGCACCAGAGGACACAGTCCATGGATTCCATGAGTTCTGGGCACAGCTCAGGCTCTGGCTCTGGTTCCGGTAACATTGACATGATTGCGAGTCGCCGTCGAATCACTGTGAAGCCTCTAGATGAACCTGATGATGAAGAGATTCCAAGCTACAAGATGAGGTCAGACATTTGTGTACCAGCTTTCCGTATATGTAATGGTGTAATGACTTGGATTATATTATGACCCTACCAAGTTGTGTAATATTAGTGCAACTAAATTCGTTGTACAAGCAGGCTTAGAATTTAAAGCAATTCTGAAGCATGATCCATTATACCAATATTATATTGGCAATGGTTTTCCTTAAATAATGATTTGTCAGCACAATGGCAGTCATCTAAACATGGGAGTAGATCCAGTTCATGAATAACCATATCAGACATACATCACACAATGAATAATTCCAGTACAATGTTCATATAACTTAGAATTTGTAGTATTATATTGTACTGAATTAAAAGCAAGCATTGATTGCTGTGTTGCTTTTATAAAATATAAATCCAGGTACTGTAGTAGGCTGCATGTGATCTCTGAAGTAGCAAATAAGATATGGCAGAATTGTTCAGGAATGTTTCAGTATACCACATTTTTCACAAAATCAGCGTGTTTGTAATCGTTTGTTGCTATTTGTCTAAACAGTAAATTGCAAAATTTAGTATCTCATCAGTCTGTGGCTTGAATTTGTTACTTTACTGTGACTCCATCCTAATCAGGTTTTGCCATAATCTTGGAACTCTGGAAGATGTATTATTAAAATCTTTGGTTTCAGATGGAAAGCATTTTAAATTCTTATCTCTGTTCATAATGACTACCTTTCTTTAGACCACTAATGGATTACTGCAAGGCCTTTTGATTTTAATTCTTTTTAACTTTTCTAAATATATGTATAATCAACAATCATTGTAATATATGCAAAAGTTGTGCAAAGATCTTTACATATTGTGGTAGAACAAGGAATATTGTGGTTAAGAAAATGAATGCAACCTTACAGTAGCAATTTGTTCAATATATCATTTACGCTTGCCAACAGCTTATATATTTTTGTAGTAAACAAGTCTTCCAAAGGCACAACATGTTCAGTGTTTCTCATAATGTATGTGGAGTTGTGTCAGGCTTTGTTACATATAATAATGCTTACCCAATTTTCAGAAAGAACTAGGATGTACAACTACATTTTAATGTCAACTTAGTAATACTTATAGTTCCTTCTAAACCAAATAACAGTAATAATATTCTTGGTATGCCGGCCTCTGTACTTTGTCACCAATCCTTTCAGTTATCTCTTTTTTATCTACTAATCCTTCAGCACTAAGTTTAGGAATTTTGCTTCTGTCATTAATATTAACAGCTTATGTGTGGTGATTTGATATGAATTATTCCTTTAAGTGATACATTACAAAAATCTCTTTAATATGGGAGCTGAAAATATTTAACAGCATTACAACTGCACATCAACTACATCTGAGTAGACAGGAAGATCTTAAGTGGCAGTGGATGTACTTGTTCCTCTTATATCCTAATTCAAGGGAGGCAATGGCCATGAATGATGAAAGCTAGCGATAGTAGTTCAGCACACCAAGTCACAAGAGATAACACATTTGTAGAGATTCCCAGTTGACTGTTGGAGGCGTAATGGAAACCGCAGTTAAACCAAACCTTTTACTTTGATATTATTATATTTCAGCATCCTGTTGCATTGCCACATCACTCGTTCACTTGTTTCAATCTCTAATGGAACATAAACTTTTATTTCAAAATGTCATTACAATCACATTTAAATTTCCTAAATATCATTAAAAATCACATTTTATTTTACCGTTCCGACATGTTTCGGCCCTGTAAGGCCATCCTCAGGTAGCTGTTAGTGGATTGAAACCACCGCACTGTATCAGACAAATTTTTACTGGTGTGTTGTGAAAAGTGTACCTCAGCCGAAGAATACTTGCACTGTAAAGGATGCACAAAGTGAAGCACTGGGACTGTGCAGAAACAGATTACGGTATGGGTGTATAAACTGCGAAACCAATATTTTCATTAAATTAGTGATTGTTACGAATTAGCCCAAGTGGTTTTGCAACTTTCTCCGAGATTGGATTACATTGCTGCCTATTGACAGATTCTGATTATAATTCACCCCGTTAGATGTTTCCGTGATTTATTCAGTTTAAGTACTTCAGCCAATATAACTGTTTTTGCGTTTTAATTTTCCCAAGAAATAAACCTGAATTCTAGAGAAACATAACTGTTGCAACTAACCCCCCTTTGGGCCACGCCACAGCTCAAGCGGTTAGTCGCTGGCTTCCCGGGTTCGATCCCGGATCTGGTAAAGTGGGATTTCTGGTGGACAAAGTGGAGCTGGGACAGGTTTTCTCCGAGTACTTCGGTTTCCCCTGCCAATCTTCATTCCACCATTTGCTTCACAATCACTCACCTATCATCTGCGGCTGGTATAATAGGCCAGAAGTGGCCGCAGTACAAGGGACTTAGTCCCACCCCACTAGCAATAAAAAAACTCCTTTCTGTATGGTCTTAAGAACACGATACATGTAAAACTCTCCGAATATTGCATGTTCCATATAGTTAAAATTGTGACTTCAGACAGTTAAAATTTGGTGGGTATAAGGTTTCTTCTCAAAACTTCAAAGTAAACAATTTGTAACCTGAGAACACTTCAGTCCTACTCAGTACAGTCCAAAGTTTAAGATGTTGCGTCAAGTTCTGAATTATCATTAATAAGGCAACTGAGTAAGACAATTATAATTGGTTTCAAATTGGTGGATATATGTTTAAACTTACGTTTCATTGCAATGGTGTGGGAAGACAAAAAATATTATATACACATAATTCCGGTCTAGAATACCGAAATTAATGGCCGTGGGGATTCGTTGCGCTGACCACGCGACATCCTCTGTCCTCTGAAGTTGGCACTAACTTCGCCGACAAGTGGCGGTCGCTCGGTCGGTATAGTTCGCTTGTGGACTAAAGCCACAGAGTTTGTTTTTTGTTTTATGTACACATAATACGAGTATTATACTGCAGCATCCTGTTGTGATGTGTATTCTAAATTAACATTCACACTTTCCACCATTTCTGAGCGATTTCTTCGATGTATAAAAATTCAGAGACATTCATCTCTTCCTATTATTTGTACACTATAAGTTTCGGTCCATCTGGCCATCATCAGGTGACAAGTTGAAGAGGAAACTGCTGCACATTGTCATGCTGCTACACTTTTCGTTCTACAAGTGTATAAATATTTACATAATATTTTGAAATTATTTTAAAATTATTTTTAAAATATCATGCAGCCACATACATAACCAAAGAAGATCCAACACACAAAATATACACTTGACCCAGAACACATCCATACAACAAGATAATTATGCTATGATATTTTAAAAATAATTTCAAAATATTTTATAAGCATTTTACGCCTTTAAAATGAAAAACATAGAAGTGTGTCAACAGGGCAACAGCTTCCTTTACAACTCGTACGCCTCAGGATGGCCAGTTAGGCCGAAACATGTAGTGTTCGAATAACAGAAAGAGACTAAATGCTTTTGAAATGTGAATTTAGTACGTTGACAAAGTTACACAGGAACTTTGAGAAGTGAGTGTGCTAAGTCGGCATAGCAGCTGGCTACGGACTGGACGACCGAGAGGTCGGAGTTCGAGTCCCGATAGGGCGAAGAATTTTCACATCTCCATATCGTCCAGACCGACTCTGGGGTTCACCCAACCTCCTATAAAATGGGTACGGGGGCCCTTTCCCAGGGGTAAAGAGGACGAGGCGTGAAGCTGACAACTCGCCTCCAATTAGTGCCAAGGTCAAGAAAATGTGAATCTATACATCCACCCCCCCATACGCCTTCACGGTGTAGTGCTTGATTAGTTGAACACGGAGACAACTTTACCTTACATGCTATACTTCGAAAACAATGTTTCTTGAATGCATATAGGTTCTAATTTTAGCAAACAGATATAAGACCTAAGTAGGCTTTATTATTAATAAGACAAAGAACGAAATATTACATGTTTACATATCACTGTCTTACTGGTGACCTCTATAACAGTGCAGCACTGTTCCCAGCTTTGCAACCTAGTCGTATTGCTCGAGTATAGGATTTTCTTGAAAGCTTTAAGCAGCTGATTGAACGAGGAGTGAAAAGCAAGGCTCTTATCATAATTAACTTTTGTCAAGCTTGTTATCATGTGATTGATCATTGTGTGATAAAATTGCCGTTCAATAGAAACCCACGTAGTACAGTCCATACGAATTAATCTTGGTACTTAAATGTACCCGTAGTAATCTGTGGTGTAATTCTTCGAGAATGTCACAGAGTCTCTATCCAGGGATATTTTATTCCCTTGGCCCGGTAAGAGCCTAATTTCTCCACTGTGTACACGTAAAATAACGGTCCTTATGGGTAACGAATAATTTGGATTTGAACACTGTGCATGCTTTGTGTTAACATAGAGCTAATATCGATGCATTTTTTAAAAATAACTAGATATTGGAATCGCTGTCAAAATTTTATTACTGTTTTGGTGTTATAGATATATTACTGAAATGAAGATACAAAATCATCCCATAATTAGCAGCTCAACTTTGTTAACGAAACAATTGCTCTACCACTTGTTTCTATCTCTTCGCCGTAAGAACCAGACATCTTGCCACACAGCTGGGTGGAATCGTACGAAGTTTTGTTAAGGTTGCTTCTTTTTCTGTTTTATATTTTTAGAAGCTCAAAGGCCTAAGATATTTAATTTAATATTTAATCCAGAATAAGAGCCCGTCGTGCCATCCGTCGTCATTCCTTTGTGTCATGGATAAATATGAAAGGGCTCTTGCAGCTGACGATTCGCCATGTTTATAATCCAGTGAGTTATATCACTTGCCCTGCCTAGAAGCATTCGAATTAATGTAGTTCCTGTTTATCATATGGACGGCTGATAATCTAATAACTACAAAGGTTACTGTTCACAGTCGCCGTTGTAAGAACCCCAAGACCAACACAGTTATTCTTAGTTTGTTCATCGACTCTCTTCTCGCTACATGGATTTTGAAACGTTGAGTGGGCGGTTGGCTGTGACTATTTAAGCGGGAAAAGTCGAGGAA